CCTGGTTATTGGTACCATTCAAGACTGACCAAAGGTCACATATTGAAAACATCAGAATCAGCTCCTGCAGCACCTTCAATTTTTATTGGAATTCACCCAACCAGTCCTAGGGAAGGTTTAACATTGTTGGGATATGAGATCATTGTAGCCCAAGCTGGTGTGACAAGAGACCATAACAGTGATGTTTCTGAAAAGGTGGATAGGGAAGCGGAGATTTATATTCCAAATAAGACAGTGATAAAGGAGCTTGTTCTTATTCTTCTTAATAAGAAGCACAGAATTTCCTGTACTAAACCAAATTAGTAAAGAGGTTTCCATCTGGGAAACGGTGCTGTGCTTTATCAACATTGTTCTAACAACAGTCAAATAAGTATTTAAAGTCAGAAACTTGTTTGAAGACTATCCACAAAGCAAATGACACTTTTTATGTGCAACAGGACATAGTGTCCCTCAGGGCACAGTGTGTTGCAATAGTACTTCTGCCTCTTGGAGCATTTTTGCTACTGTCATGTAGCACATGCATGTCAAGTTGCTATTTTTCTTATGAGACAGAATAAAAACAGGTGATGCTGCCAAAAGAAATTTAAGATACTTCTTCTTAATGTGCCTTTGCTGACACTGAGAGCCACAAAAACATTTCTGCATCTCTGGATAGCATTCCTCCTGTGTACCCTCATAGTTTTAGTTCTCAGCTCTTCTTTGCCTGTAAATAGTTTTGAAAGAGGGTTTCTGACATACAGATCTATTACTACTCACTTCAGGAATACAGTGCAGCAAAACTTACCATCCCTGACAGTAGTAAACATCTTGTGGATTGTCCCTGTGGAAAGAGGCATATGCTGTTTACTAGTTAGTCAGTCTGGATGGAGGTTAAGCTATAAGAAAGCTGGGACAGTGTGCCTCTACCATCACTTGTTCTGCAGGAGGAAACAGTGACTGCCTTCTCTCATGATTTCTAGGAAGCAGAATTTCAGCCTCCAAAATGAGCAATGTCAACCTCCTGCCACAAGGACTAAATCAACACCAAGGAGCAGGCTGTATAAAGGAGTTAAGTGTTGCGGTCTTAAGTGATACCACAGCTGTAGATGGGTGCAGATGGGCACTGGCATACACCTTAAAGGAATCTCTCCTAAATAAGCTTTGTCATACAAAGAGCAAAGCTGTTAGCAATTGCAGTGTCTCTCAAAGTGTGGAGGGTATCATATAGCTCATCTCTTGTCCTAATGTTTACTACATCTGTAAAGGGGGATATTATTACACTGTTAAAAAAGAAATTGGGTATTCCTGAAAGACTCCTTAATAAAAGGGGGGGGGGGGGGGAAAGCTTTTAAATCAACTGGCAAAAGTAAACCTGGTGCTTACTCCCTTTCAGACCCTGAAAGTTTGCTGAAAGAGGGATGGGATTTCTGTTTCATAAATGTATTAATAGAATACTCCTGTATTCTCGCATGTCCATGGACTGGATGTGGCTTTCTCTGAATTCGGCCCCAAATTTAACAGAATCCATGCATTTGTGGAGTTTATTACCCAGCATGGAGAGTTTGTTCTCTGTCTTCAGGGGTTGTTAGGTTGACAATCCCTTTCGGGAAGAGCCAATAATCTTTTAATCTCTTTGTGTACTTCAGCCCCAAACACCAACTCCAGTGCACACCCAGCTTTGGAAGATGAAGTCACCATTGGCATCTGGAGGTCTCATTCTGCTGGCAAGAGCTGGTGTGCAGCAACAGCTTTGCCCTTTGTGTCAACAAAGTCTTGGGGTACCTTCGTCAACAGCATTTGTACTTCAGACAAAAAGCAGCTGTTCAAGATCATCATGGTGACAAGTAAAATAAGCTGCTCCCCTTATTTCTTTGGTTTTTAAGAGTTCTGTGGCCTTCCTTAACTCAGGGCCCCCATTAATAAAGTAATTTAACACAGTTGGGAAGTTGCAAGTGAAACAACAGACAAATGAGGAATATTTTCACAGAATCTGTGCCTGTGAGCAAATCTCAGCAAGGGCTGAGGAGCTGATACATGCAGTAAAGTCAGGGAGACACACACCGATTACAGCAGGCTTTGTATCAGCCCCTTAATGCTTACCAATATTGAAACAGTTACTCAAGAATGAATTTAAAGTACACAACTAAGTGCTACACAGAACAATTTTAACAACATTCACACACATCTGGAAGGAAGTAACATGTGCTTTGTGTTGCTTCAAGCCTGAGATGCTGCAAGCAAAAGCAGTCTGTCTTAAATACAAAAAAAAAACCCAAACCCAAAAACCCACCCCAAGCTTTTTCTCTGCAGACAGTCTGAGCAAATGGTGTCCGTCAGCTTCTCAGTAACAGAAACCAGATGCAGAATGGCCATCCAACCTTCTGAGTTTGCCCCCAATTTAGGCTGCCGAAATTACATTAAAAGAAACGTGTGGAATTGTTCAGAAATGATGTAATAGCCATCCAAACACAGATTGTAACTCTCTGTTACTGTTCTACCTGCTAATGCAATCATTCTTGGGTGGCTGTGGGGATGCATCAGACATAATAAAACACAGTAGAAATAGCTGTTTGCCTGAAATACTTCAGCAGCTGTTACAAACTTAGTGTCTTGAACTAAACAGTTAGATCATGTAAATAACAGAAACTGACTTTCTAGGCCTTTCTAGGGCTTTACCTCTTTGAAGAGAACCTGACCCGCTCCAGCAACAGCATGTAGCAGATAGAGCATTTGCTTTGGGTAGGAATGGTAACCAAAATTGTTACAAATACTTTAAGCCTAATAGGCAACATTGAGGTTTTCCCTTAAAATATATATAATAAACTTCTATTAAAAACAAGGTTTAAACTTTTAATCTTGATAGACTGGACCTTTGGGGGACCTGCCCTTTGAGCAAATGTCTGACTGCCTCTACCAACTCCATTAGAATGAATGCTGCCTCATGATCAGGAAGCTAGTCAGTTCTCATTAAACATGTGAGATACAACAGCTTAAACAGAGCATCAGAAGCCAGTGAGGACAGGAAAACACCACTGTCCCAGTGAAAGGTAGAGCAGAGCTCTTTTATTAACAGGTTGTGATTCCCCATGGCCAAGGACATGTGGCCTTTGTCTAAGAGACAAATGAAGACAGAGAGGATGCCAAAATCAGCCCCAAAATGATTTCTTAGTGGTGGGTAGGCAACTGCTGTGTGAAAGACTAAGCAAAAAAGGAAAAAAACATTACTTACTGCAGTTATACAGCTCACAAGCTACTATCATTTGGATACTTTTGAGCCATCCATCCCTTTGTTCTCTTGGAAGTAGAGGACATGCATGGCACAAAGACCTTTGGCTTGTTTTCTGCACAGAGAAGGTGCTGTGATTTTAAGGCACTCACACACTGCTGTCTCTGCCTGGGAAGACCTTAGTGTAACTAAGGACCACTACCTGTTGATTCTGCAACAAAAAAACCCTGAAGCCTGAGATGAAAGAAGCGCACCTATAAAATCTTTTGATCATCCAGTCCCATTTCTTCAGGGATAAGTAATGACCCTAATCTCATCTTTCTTTCATTGAAGAGGATGCATGGGAACAGTGTAGAACGCTTATCACTTCATGCTTCTAATACATTTGTGTGCAATTAGGTTTTATATATAAATTGAATTTTACTACCCTATTCAGTATTAATCATCTTTTTGTTGATGGCATCAGAGTGGGTTTGTTAAAATGTGGAAACAATCAACACATTGAGATAATCATACAGTTTTTGAAGCAGGTGGTCATTCTGCTGCAGAACACAGTGTACATTTTAAGGAGAGGAGAATAAACTTACAGGAACTTGGATTCAGTCTTGGCTCTTTCCATTGGGCTGCACATCACTGCTTCTCTGTGGTAACTGTGTTTATGAAATCCCAGCCAGCTCCCACTAACCTCCCCCCATCCACCTCCACTGCTCATTTAGCATTTATACATATCATGCATTTCTGTAATGAAAATAAATGAATTAAGATAGATTGAATTACCCTCTAGAAACAGGATCTACTTAAAAAGTAAACAAAAGATTATCATCAATTTCATGTTTGTAGTATAAATGCTCCAATGCAGTTAGCCAGACATGAAAAAGACTCAGTCCTACCATCCATTCTAAAGCTCCTTAATCACTATACCATATAAAAAAGGTCATTTTCTCAGGTTTGGGATATATCTGGACATTTCCCATAGGCTTTAATAGAACTAGACCTACATGAACATGAACTAAATCCTGTCTCCCTTCTGTGTCTTTAGTGAATCTAGGTACTTTCTGCTTATTGTATGCTATTAGTATTTTATAAACATTGAGGTTTAATGCCTTCTAGCTTTCATTGCTCTAAATACTTAAGACTGATTCTTTCCAAGAGATCTGCATAGCTTGAACACATAGTGTGGGCTGGCATGAAAAATCACTTGATGAGCCTCTAGAGCCCGCGTTTAACTGCAGGTCTGACTGGCCAACTGTTAACAGCCTCACAGGGCCTGGAAAAGCTGCAAATGTGGACAAAGTCTACAAAGGAATCTCACTGATAGCTGTTTTCTGGCTTTTCTGCAGCAAAACTTGAACTCCTTTTATCATTGTAGTTTAACTTCATATTACTCGATTCATGAAGGGTCACAGATGCTGCTCTAAGCAGGTGATTTTATAGTGTGGTAGGGGAAAGGATATAGATCTGACTTAATGGGAGGTGATGAAGATTAAAATGGGCTTCAAAGGGGGAGTAAATGGAACAACCAGTGATCACAACTACTGGGCAAAAATGAAAGGCAGGCAGCAGGAAGTTACAGGGACAGCCTTCACCAGCTGCAGAGGCTCCTGTAATACATGCACATTTGCAGTTTTGATCCCACATTTCCCCACAGTTGTCTGTTCAACCTCTACTAAGGTACTCAAGGCAACAAAGCACCTTGCGATCTTAACTGCTGAAGGCATTTACCTCCCAAAAGCTTCTGCCTGAGAGAAAATACTTAAATGTCAAATTGCCAACAAGCAGCACTAAAGCAAAGCACTGGAGGTAGAAGGAGCCTTTTTTTACTTTTTCAGGAATATTGTTTTTCCAGTTTGAAATTCTGAATTTCTTTTTCAGTTTGGAAAAGAAGTTGCTGTGAATACCTCCCCCCATAATACCCACTAAATAACCTGAGTCTGCTTCTCCCCTAGAATTTCTGAGTGTGCCCTTATTCAGTAATGAGGCTGAGCCTGTTTCCCTGCTTCTCAGAAGTACTGCAGAGAGCAATGTTCATCTGTTCATTACACATCTTGGAGAAGCTTACACTTCTGAACTGCTGGTTGCACGAGTAATAATGCCTTATTGTGGCGAGAGTTCACTGTAAATGTCTATTAAGCGAGACATCTATTTAAGGAGGACCAGAGTGCACGTCTCATGCCAGGGTGGGAGTTAAAATATAAAAGCTATTTGGCTACATTAATCTGGTTACAAGATCTATCAAGTCCTGATTTTGTCTCCATTTTGAAGAACCTTCATGACATGGCAGGCAAACATACCAGGTAAATATAATGTGGCATCTGGTCTTCTGTCAAGGCAGGCAGGAGTGAGGGTTTTAGGCTTTGACATGTTGACCAGGCATGAAGAAAATGAGAAACTCTCTTGCTGCCCTGACTGAGTAACTTCGCCCATTCCTCATTTCAATTTATCAACACAGAGAGAAGAGAGAAGCAGAGACAGTTCTGCTGCAGCTTTCCTATTCTTCATTCCTCTCAGATGAGATCTTCCATGCTTGGTCCCTCACCTGCAGAAATACAGTAATTGCCATGTACCTCAGAAGACCTCTGCCCTAGTCCTCTAGACTTAAATAAGCTTCTTCCCCAGCAATGTCATTGCCTCCTGACCTACAACCTGGAAACTTACACCCCAATACCATCTGGTTATTGAGAACCCCTTTTGTCAACACAGTAACGAAGGCCTCAGTACTGCCTGCTCTGCAGACATCCCTGGTTTGCCATATGCCAGGTTCAGGGGCTGCGAGATGAAACAGGGTTCTTCAGCATCTTAAGATAAGCTTGGAAGATCTGGCAAGACAAAGAACCAAACAAAGTCAAGGTCTCATCTCAAGTTGTGTTCTCTCCAAGTAGTTTATCCCAAGGGAAAGATGACTTATAGAGCTGTCCTGGCACCATGTCCTGTGCTTAGTCTTCTAGTTATCAGTAGCTCATTTTCATTATGTTTATTTTTTCCATGAAGTCATTGTCTGTATCTAAATAAAGTGGGTTTAGATTATATAAGGAAATTCCAATGTCTTCACTTCTCTCACACAAAGCTCAACATAACAATCCCATGTCTATTCCTGTAAACCTTAACAGAAGATACTGAAACATAATACCACACGAGATAATTCCTACTAATAAACCATGTCTCTGTCTATGGGATTACCTCTCAAGGCTCCAGTTTCTAAGTGTAACTGACTGTATTTAAGAACTTTCTGCTGAAGCAGCAGATAGTTAAGGAAATTCCTCTGTTTCACTACTTTAAAACTTAAAATATCTGTATTTCAGTTTTACACACACAAGTATTTTTGAACTAATTGTTCAGTACAGAGAAGGCTGAAAATCCAGATTTAGGCAGGACAATACAAAATGTTTGTAATACAAACAAGCACAGGTTCATCATCAACCAAACCAAAATCTGTAAGGTGCAGAGAATTCCACTTTAAGAACACAAACTGAGAAGTGTTCGTTAGCTCTCATTCAGGTCAGTGGACTTCCTAAGGATATGCTTGAAGTGGGATGGAAAAGAGAACACATTGAAATCCTCGGGAAAAGCAACACCCTACAGACCCAAATGGCCCCCCTATATATTGTACAGATGTTTTGAGTTTGAGTACATAGCAGATCTCTAGGGAGGCAGATCCTCTAGTTCAAGCCTACAGTGGTGGTGATCCCATGGAGCACCCTGTCTGCACGTGATGAGATTTTCATGCCACCCATGCAAGCAGGCAAACAGAAGCTCATTTGTCAATTAGTCTAGTTTGTATAAAAGAAAACTCCAGAATCATAAGGTCTCTGCAGCCTCCACTCTGTGAATACATTCACCTCCTGCAACCCACAGGCTAACACAAAATGAAGGAAACAAGGTTTTGTGGTCCTATCATTAAAATATTGGCAACTGTAGCCACAGATACCATACTTGAGGGAATTAATCACTCATTCCCCCCTCCAAGGGGCCTAGTCAAATAGCTACCATCAGTGTCATAGAAGCCAAGCCAAATCAAAACAAACCCCTGTGCCAGTGGCATGTCAGTGTTTGTATCCTCATCAGGAACGCCAGTGCCTTCTGGAAATACAAACGTCATGACTCGAATCTGTGATTTATTTTCAGCTTCCAGAAGAAACGTAACAACTGAGATCTATGCAGAAAGCTCCTGTGCCACCTCCCTGCTCCAAACCACTGAAAGCTTCACAAAGCCGTATCTTTCAGCTGGCATCAACTGGTGTAGCTACCGATTTCAAATGCACTAAGCTGATTTATGCCAGCTGTGAGGTGGCCCCTATAAATTAACAGATACCTATGAGCTGATCAGAAGTCTAATACCTGTGTACAGATTATGCCATACTATTTCACAATATTAGAGGTAATTCCTTGAGTTGCTAGTTTGCTTCTAAGTTCTTTGAGGAGTGATTAATTCACCCAAGTGACCATGGTAAGTAAAGTTTTCTAGCAGATAGCAACACTGACAGTTCCTTTGAGTAAAACAAAGGCTAAAGTTGTTCCCAGTTTTTGCTGCAAATTACACAAGTGCCAGCAAATGAGTGGACATCACTTAAAATGCTTGAAGATCTGAGAGTGATTTACCTTTTGCTTGTATTGCATAACAAATGTCTGTTTTCACTTTTGGAAAAGACTTCTGACATTTGACTGAGTACATTTAGGACCCCACAGTTCCCACTGCTGGAGGTCTCTGATTCTTGAATACCAGAATACATTACTTTGAGCTCCAGCTTGGCATCTTCCATAGGTAGATGACATTACAGTAACCCTGTAAGCTCAGAGAATATGGCCTTTAAATCTGGTAAGTGGAAGAAAAATCAACTAATCTGTCAATGCCTTGGTACAAAGAGTGGGGAAGTCCAGCATTCCTTTACTACAAGAAATTGTGCTTCAGATTGTCACCAACAGTACATCACAAAGTGAGATTAAGTAATTATGAACTGACTAGGACTTGAACACATGCCCTCTCACCTAAGGAAAGGATAACAAAACATCTATAGCACCAGCCCATGCACATGAATAAAGATATCCCTGAGTAAGTACCTATGAAGTGATTTAGCCTCTGTCAGAGAAGCCAAATGCCCAGGAAATCCTTCACACATTTATTTGCCATATTGCACCCAGCTGTTAGTACAGATTCTTGTATTACAGATGAAGCACAGAGAGGCTTAAGTCCAGATTCTGTAAACTATTTAGTCACCTTATCTCAGTTCAGTTGCATCTCTCAGGGTCTGCCTACATGATTTCACTGGGTTATTCATCATGCTTGCTCTAGAAACAGTATTTCTGTCATAGCTGACAAAATCTAAACAATTCCAGTCTTACATTTAGTCACTGGCCACCTGCCCATCTGAGAAATGGCATTTATAGAAGACTATAACAAAAATCACACCCTCTTACAAATGTTAACTGAGGGCCACTGCTTGCTCCTAACTTCACTTTGCTTTGGAAAGCAGAGGAAAGCATTTTCCTACAGCTCTACAGCACCCTCTATTGTTTTCTTTTTCTAATCAAAATTTGCATTGCTGTGGCATTAACAAAAAAGAATACATGCAGTCTTTTTCTAAAGCAGCATAAAAATAAGGATCAGTAACATAGTACTGTGCAACCAGAAGGCAAGGAAAGCAAAAGGTTATAGGTAAGTTTCTATATCAGTTCACTGATCACACAAAAATGCTTCCTTGAAGGCAGAGATATTTTAGCTACTCACTTCAGCAAAGAGTTGAGCCTAACAATGCAGAAGCTTTGTCTAGTAAGACCTGAGTAGTGGCTACAGAATTTAACCTTATAAACGTAAACTGGAAACCATAATACACAACATTATACTAGGGCAACTATAAACAATGTGAAACAGGTCTGAAGGTTCATTAAGTGTTCTCAGATGATGAATTTGTAAGATGTGGTTTGGGTAGTTACACAAGGTGCCAAATGGATTCAGTCTGTCAGTTATTCAGCCACTACACGGCTACACATTATTATCACTTGTTATAAACTTCAAGTGGTGGTGGTGAACCAAAAAGCCTAACACACAAAACACACACTCAAAGCAAGATCTAACTTTGAGTTGGACAGAGTCCATTTGCATGTGAAGAAATACAATTGATCTGAAGATCTTCTACGAATTCTTTGTTCCCTGAAACTACTTGAGAACAATTTCCATGACTGCCTCTCGAAATGCCTGTTTCAGCTGAACTCACAAACTTGTTCTCTGAATTAACTCTTCTTGCCTCCTAAGTGATGAATATAACCCAGTACTGAAGTGGCATGTGTAAATTTGCACAGGTCAAATGCAGAGCTTCGTAAAGTTTCATAGAAGATACAGAAAGTCAAAAATCAAATCCAAGAGTCATGGAGGGCCTGAACTCTTTAACAACTGCTGTGGCTCAATACAAAGATATAAAAATTGTTCAGAGCCAGGCAGAGTTAAATGTGGCGGTGAATTTAGAAGCGAGTACATCTGAAAAACCAGGAGCAAGTCAAAAGCCATGTAACACATATCTAACTTCCTCCTGGGTTTTCTCAACAGGGCAGAAGACTTGCCAGGGACTTGCTTGTGTAAGGCTTATGCCAGAACAAGACAGACGGGATTGGATGTGAGGGATGGAGAGCATCTTCTGGTCCCTGGGACAGATGGTGGGTCAGGGCCAACATCTTGTCTAAATCCCCTATCTTATAGTTAGAATTCACCCTTCGACATTTCAAGTTTCTTTTCTTGTTATCTAGACCTGACAGAATCTTGGGTGTTCCAAATCAGAGGAAATCTGATTAAATGGAAGTACCGCTAAATGTCAGACCGCAGCAGATACTGCGCCATTGGAACTTAAAAGTCAGTTACACCAGAGTAAGATAACATGTGAAATGTCCAAACAAATAACCTGCTGTGTTAACCCCGTGGTGCCAGAATGAAACAACCAGTAAAGAAAGTTATTTTTCATTACTAACTCAGCAGCTGGTGGTTGGTTCAGGGAATTCTATGCTCTCACCCCCTTCCAAGCTCCTCTAAGACATACTTTAAAAACAGGATGAAAGGAATACAAGATAGCAGAGATTGGTAGTATGTAAAAATGGGCAATTAACAATTACATGTAGATTCCTTGAAAACCAAAGCCCTAAGAAGGAAATCAATACGGTGTCTGACACAAAATGGGTAGGGATATCTTAGGCAATATATAATGAGTAGTGAAGGATTTTCACTAGCTTTCAGAAGATCAACAGATCAATATTACAAGCTTCTGTAAAAACCTGGCTTTGTGCTCCATAAGTAACTTTGTTTGCACTGCACCCAGAATAACTATTTCAATGAATGTTTCTGGAAAATACTGTGATTTAAATATACATCAATAGCAATTACACTGCCCTGAAATCAATCCAAAGAATTAAAGTCAACCCAGCAAATCTACTGGAAAAAAAGAAGCAAAACTATCACTTTCAGCAATATAAGCTGAATATAACTTCAGCATTTCTTCTATTTGCCTCCTGTTTGGAATGTTAACTTCCTGTGTGATGCTTTACAGTGTCCAAGTGACTTTTTATTTTACTTACAAGCCAGCACTTCCATGCAAAATTGATGAAGAGGACTGGAGAGCTAGAATGCTATAAAAGAACTGAGTGATCAGAAGGACCAGAATTACATGCATGGATAACATGTGAACAGAACAACAGAAAAATGCAGCACTGTTCCCTTAGGAAGCGGAACCAAAATACACCAGTTCAATATAAGAACTTGTCAGTTTAAAATGACTTACAAAGCAAAAGCTCTCAGCTGCATAGGTATTCATGTAACAGGTGTTGGATTAAAGTTAAGGCACAAACTTCCAGTAAACATATAAAAAGTACACACACAACCTCGTGCGCTACGTACTTATGTTCAGGAGCAACTACTCCAAAAGTACGTATCAGCAAGAGGTCAGAAAAATCACCTTCAGCAACAGAGTAAATAGTCTTGTACTGTATCCTGCTCAGCAAAATTAAGGTAGCACAGGCATACAAGTGGCTTCAATAAATAACAATCCAGGAACAAGGCTGTGCCCTGGCCCACCTACAAAATAGTTTCAAGGAGTACAGGATACCACAACCCAAGCTGAAACAGCATCTGTGCGCCCATGGACGGGGTGGATAGGGGTCCCTGGTGAGGCTGCTTAGGGCCTCCAAGACCCCATACTGCTCTCAGGACTCTTCACAGTTGGATTCACAGATGCCAGCACATTTAGAACTCAGTATTATTTTCCACCTGATCAGCATGTACACATCAACAGGACTGCAGGGCTGAGCTGCATCCTTGTGTGTTAGGTGGGAAGGGTAAGAAAGCCCTGGGGCTGGAGAGATTTCACCTCTGTTGGTGTGTTTAGTGTCCTCCCCTCCAGAACATCAAATGGATCTGTCACTGCATACTCCTGACCTGTACCAGCATTACTGCCCCTTGTGGTGTTTGGGATTCTGGGGGGTTTTGGGTTGTTTTTGTTGGGTTTTTTTTTTGTTTTTTAATAAAAGATAAATGTTCTCACAATTATAACTTTTATATTATAAGGAGATACCAATCTGTCACTGTCCTGCTCCACAGAAATATGACAGTTTAACTTGGAGCTGTATTGCCCAATACTGGATACACTCAGCAGCAGCTCCAGAGGCTAAGTCTACCTTCATGCTTGTGAAAGTATCCCCCTACATCTCAAAGCATCCCAGAAGCACATGCAACTTTCAGCTTTGCTGCCCATAACGCTCAGATATGACAGTTCCCCAACACTGTATCTTTCATAGCAAGTAACTCTTCACAGAAATGGCCTTCTGGATGAGATGTTTTGAATAATTTCATAAATAAGGAAATTATGTCCATCTAATGGCTGTATCTAACAGCATATCACATGAGAGTACTCCAGCAGCTCATGAAAGTTTTCAGACTTGAAGGAAAAGGCCTCAGGTTGGAAAATTACCGAGATTCCAAACTATTCAGGTAAGTGCTGGAATGAAATACTGAAGCGAAACATCCTCATGAAGCAAGATGAAGTGGACAATTCTTTTACTTACAATATCTGTAAAGAGAAAAAGCCACCACAAATCCAGTTTAAAGCAGGAAAAATATGTTATGTCTTCTACACAATGCCATCATCAGAATATAATGCTTTACCACTTCTGATAGCAGGATGACAAGACATATCATCCTGTAATATTTAAGTCCTCAAGGGTCTACAAAGCATTACTAAAGAGTCTATGAAAGTTGATACCAAAAAGGAAATACGTAATGTATAGGCCTATAATGCTACACCCATGACTTACATCTTCCTCAGGAAGTTCTCAGTATCTGCATTAAAGCATAACTCACAGATGTTCTCAGGAAAAGCATGCAAAGTTATCAAAATCAAATGCAAAACCTTGCTAGAAACTGGGGGCTTTAAGAAACATTAGAAGTCCTCAGGTATAGTACAACCAGTCAAGTTTCAAACAGACAAAACAGAAGATCTGCTGTTCTGCTGAGACAAATACAGCAAACATCTGTCCTTTACTGGAGTTACCAAGCAGAGCTGCTGAACTTACTGCACAATGCTTTTGTGGGGTTGACCTGCTGTCCAGCAAGCAGCTGCTGCAGCTTCCTGATGTCTATGCGAGCCTCAGCCATGCTTTCTGGATCTCTGTCTTGAGAACTTTGACATCCATCCTCTAATGCTAAAAGCATAAGAACACAACACTTGGTCGTAACATCAGGAGTTGCAAAACATACAGGAACACACCTGATAATAACTGAACAGCTGGTACCCAAAGGGGCTGTTTTCAGAAACAGCAGTACAAGGAAGAGAAAGCCCAGTTTTCCTACAAAGTTGTCAAGGATACCGGAATTCCCTCACTAACATGAACTAGCCATTAGCCACATTTTAAGGTTTCATTTGAAAAAAAGCTCAATGTATTTGATGCTATTTTGTAAGGACTATCAGAAGGTAAGTACCATTATCAGCATCACACTGAAATCAGACAGCCACAAGAGGCAACAAAACTGGAAACTTACCCCAGGAAGGATTTCCCAAGTCTTTAAAATGTGTTGTTACACAAACTAAGTCAGTTTCTACTTTCAAGTTCATTTCTCCACTCAAGTTTGCTTCAATCATCTGCAATACAATCAATCTCAGTTTTAGGCAAGCCTCTTTCACACTGAAGAATTACAGAAGAATAAAGTGCAGCTTTGTTCAAGTACAAGCTGCCAGACACATTTCAGTGCCTTCACAGCTCAACTGTACTTTCTGAAGATGAACATTGGAAAGTTCAGGTACAAAAAGCATTTCTCATCACTCCTGTGAGATGAATCCTAGATCAACCTCCCTGAAATTATGAAAAGAAAGAAATGCCACTGCTCTCCAGTACCTCTAGAACAAGCAGTGGTTTTGGGAAGCTGATGTGTTGATGTGTTTAGAAATAAGAGACAGAAGCTAGAGAAATGCAAGGTTTCCTGCATTTGCACCAGCACTCCATAAAGCCAGGGTGGACTGGAAAGCCACCATATCAGAGTTTGGAGTACAGGCTGACAACCAGGAGCGCTCCATAGCATTTCCTTTAAATCCTACCTCAAGTCTACCTTAATTCCAGCCACAAGACTCACTTAATGGGCATTTCTTTCATGAAATCACTTCAGAAGTCTCTAGGTGGCTTCCTCAACAACCACAATTTCCTACTAGCTATGAAGAGTGGCTTGTAGCAACACAATTCTTTCAAGGATTCAGTTTAAAGAGGGAAAGCTTCCAGGAAGCCCAGGACAAGCTCTTCAGTGCTAATCCTAAAACAAATCCCATGATTCTCTTCAACCCCTACAGAGTCTTCAGATGCCTTTAGTGCAATGTCTTATCCCAAAATAAGATGTAACATGGGGGACCAGTTTGGGCAACAGGGAAACATGCTATGTCCAGGAAAAAATAAGGTCTGTAGGACACACATCTCAACTGCTTTAACTTACAACGTAATTGCTGAGATTCCTCATTCTCTCCACAACACTCTTCATTATTTTCAGCACTGGTAGGTAAATACTGACCTAAAAAGATGTAAGAACTGCATTGGCTCAAGTATTTCATGTGTAACTGGGATGTGATGCATTTATTTCTCCCTTCAATCCTATCTTATTTTGGGATCTGTTGTCTACTGAGTGCGGGAAGCACAATATTTAACTGAAATCAGCAAAGGTCTCAGGAACAGAGGAACTCTTTCCCATTATACCAACAGGCCACTGCTCTGGCAATTGCTTCAGACATACAATCCTATCTGTGTTCAAAATAAATGAGAAATGGGTTTTTGCAGATCAAATTCTCACTTGAACCCACATCTGTGTTACTGAGCAGTGAAATAGTTACTATAGCCAAAAGGGGAAGAACACAATCCCCATGGTACTGTAATCATTTCTGGAACTGCATCAGTGGAAGCTGAAATAACAGAACAAAACACATCAAGTTTCTACTAAATCTTACGTCTTCAGAATTTAAATACTCTCAACTACAGAAGTAACACATTCATAATCTCAAACAGGAGCACATCTGCACAAAGTCCTTTCCTTGAAAGTATGCTAAAAGTCAAAAAGGATATTAAAAGATATGTAAAAATCAGGAGGAAACACATATAGATCTAACTCTGCCAGGTAGGCCATGAATTTCAGAAAGAACAGATTATTTAGGCCACCTGGTACCTAAACAGCCAAAATGGTCAAAACCTGTGTGCTTTGGAAGTGCTCCTACCTAAAGCAATGCAAGTCCTCTGCTCCTCCCTTCCTTCACCCCGAGTATCACAGCAATGACTGGTAATGATCTGCTCTGTTTCTACAGGTTCTGGAGACTCCCTTGTCAAGATGGAACCCATGTCCCATCACTCTCCAAACCTCTAGCTTCCAGCCTTCACTCTTTCCTTTCACCTTCTCTCCAAACCTCACTGGTAGTATAGACCACAGCAAAAGCATTCCACTTGCAACCTCCCCTTTCCATAGGGAATATAAAACAAGATGCTTACATCAAAGTCTGGCACACTGGGCTCTCTGAAGTCATTCCATAATCTTCTGGGAATAACCCCCACAGGAATGTCATGTGTCACAATCCTACTGCTGCTTGATAAGGATGGCTTGAGAGAAGAGAGAGGATGCTCTTGCAGTTAAAAACAAGACTGGAATTCTAAATTCAAACTTTTCAGAGCCACTCTGGGAAATACTATAACTGAGTGCAAAAGACATTCAGTTCCAGTTTTCCATAGGTTCCTATCAGTCTGCTATTAAGGACAATCAAAAGCAAAACAGAGCCAAAAACTACACCGAAACCTCCTTCACCTAATGGCTTCAGTGAGAAAGCAATAATCCACAATTTTAGAGAATGAAGGAAAGGGGGAAAGTAGGCATTGGAAAAAGGTGTTTAAAGCACATATCTTTCATTCTTCTACCACCTCTTCCTTGCCTTTTGGACAACACAAACCTGGCTCCGTGTGCTACCACTCATGATGGCAGGAAAGGGTAATGGAAAATGGTGTTTTTCTTCCTTTATTTTTCTAGAATTACACAAAAGCTTCTATTTGATCTTAGGAAAAGCACTTAATTTCTAAAAGCTTTTTCTTAGTAATGAAGATAAAAGCATGGTTGCACTTACCAGCTCTACAGCGACTCTGAGACAGGGACAGTGTTTGTTAGTCAACTTCATCTTCACTGCCTTAGCATTGTGGGCAGTTTTCAATGCTCTTGACAGGTTCTCAGGCATCAGCTCTAAATAGATCTCATTGTGCTCTGCAGCCACTCCTTCCATCTGAAATTCATCGAAGAAATTCCCCTACAGGTTTTTAAGTTGGGAAATAAAACACAGCAAATGAAAATATGACAGAGGGGTAAGTTTTAGCTATCAGAACTCAAGTTTAGTATGGCGTGTGTACAACAGGAAGCTCTCCTGTGCCTGGCATCACCTGCAAGAGTCAAGACAGGCTGCACAGGCACAAAAGCCCCTTCCTTCAGGCTAAATGTATTAGTTTCAGATCCTCCCTTAACAACTACCAGCCCTCAAAACCAGGGGCATAAGAGGTGAGTTACAGTCTCCTGTTGCCAGCTTTGGCCCTTGTGGGACAGCCCACACCAAAGCTTTACATGAAGTCACAACCAAAGGGGATGTCCAGCCAGAAACATGAGGTCTGTGTAACCAAAAGGCAGTCCTGCAAGGCAGAATGCCTTCAGTGAACAAGGCCACGCAGGACTGAGGCCTGGCACATCTCAGGTGAGGGCTGCACATACAATAAACCACCGTGTACACCAGACACGACTGCCCGCTCTGGTCTTCAATGCTGTGTGACTGTTGAGCGTCCCGGGCTTACCTGGTTCAGCTCACACCACATACCAACACCTCCATTGGCTACTTTATCAGAGAGGATGAAGTACAGCTTGCTGACAGTCAGGCGCAGGGTGCAGGTCTTGGCTAACTTGGCGATTGTGTTAATTACACCTGGCGGAGGAAGGGGAATGTTACAGCGGGAACCGCTCCCCACTCATCCCAGGGAGAGCTCGGTCTCCACAAACGCAGCTGCGGAAGCTCTTAAAATACTTCAGGGCGAAGAGAACCTGCGGCTGCCTCATGGCAGTGCTCAAGGCCAGGCTGGAACAACCTGCTCTAGTGGAAGGTGTCCCTGCCCACGGCAGGGGGTTGGAACTGGATGAGCTTTAAGGTCCTTTCCAACCCAAACCAGCCTGGGACTCCATGAAAAGCGCCCCACGCTGCCTCCCCCTCACAGCCGGTGAAGGTGTCTGGGCCTCACGGCGCGGGCCGGGGCTACCCCGCGTACCGCCCTTCCCTTTCCTTGGTACAGAAGGTCCCGCCCGCCCGCCCGCCCTGCCGTCCCCCTGCCCGGGCACACTCACGGCTGAAGTGGTTGAGGCAGGCGAGATCCACGATCTTAGCACGGAAGCGCATGGCGGCTCACAGCCCTCCGCGCAGCACCGCCCGCCGCCGGCGCACGGCCGAGGGCGGAGTCTGTCAGGAAAAGGGCGGGCAGGGCCAGGCCCAGCCCCGCAGCCCGGCGGGGTAACGGGTCCAGAAGGGAGCGTTGGGCAGGGGAGAAGCAGCAAACGGGTGAGAAAGGAGGGAGAACAGAGCTCTGGAACACGCGTTTCCTCTTCCCCATCCCCAGCCGAGCCACCCAGAGCAATCAAAACACCTGAAGTGCGTTGAGAAAGGACCTGCCCTGCAGGCAGGCTGCCTTTGCCCTGTGCTGTTTCAGTGCCTGGTGCGCAGGGCTCTATGCGGAGACAGGGATCGCCTACAAAGGAAAACGTTGCTTTACCTGTCCTCTCCATGTGCTGGGTAACTTTCCGACAAGAGACTTGGTCCCTTGCCTCTGTGGTGCTCTTAAGGACTGCAAGGAGCTAAATACTTTTGTCCTTTTGGGTTCCTCAGCGTGCTTTTGTCACACTGCCTTGCCTTTGATGTTTAAACACTCTAGGGATGCTGCTCACAGTCATTACGAAGGAAATTAAAGAACAAAAGAAACAACAGTGTGTCTACATACCACCACACAGAGGGATACGGGCTGGAGAGGTTATTCTCTTGCTGCGCTGCTCCCAGGCCCTAGGCACATCCCAGACATCAGCTGAAGACTGGCATAGAGAAACCACTCCAGTGTCATGGGCAGTTCATTCAGTGAAATGAGCTCACAGGTACCTTCCTCCTGCCCCTAAAACAGTACGTTTATAATCCAGAAACAGGAGTTCGTTCTGGGCAGTTTAAAAAGGCCAACGGGAACACAATGGTGTTTGCTTCTTTTATTACGAAAGGTACAAAACCACAGGGTGTAGTGAAGCGATCGTTAGAAATGTGAACTTTTGTTGAGCCAACTTTCTATTTACATACACAAAATTCCCCAAGTGGAACAATATCAAATGTGAGACACATTATCAGAATACCATATATACAGGTTCAGAGATTTAGTATCTCTGTTACTCTATACATGATTGTTACACAAAAAGTCAATTCCTATCTTTCTTACACAAGTATTTTAAATTAAGCTTATGAGGCTACTCAAGCAAAACAAAGCAGAATCTGGGCAAAGTTCTGCTATCAGTTACTTTATAAATACAATACAAAATGACAGAGCCAGATTTTCAGCCAGGCTCAATCTTCTGTTGCATCAAACATCCCATGCTCCAAACTGATGGAAGTAAAATAGCAAACTATTAGTAATCGTTATTGATATCAAACCAGATGTATCTCAGGAGCTGGAGACACACTGGTTCTCAGATTACTGATCAGTTATTAGGAAAAGCAAGTGTTTTTACCTATTTTTTGTACACCCCTCAAACAGAAAACCCAAATAAAATACTTGAGTTTGCTTTGTGTGATCAGACATTCTGTTAAAACAATCATAGTAAGAAAGGACCACAGCACATATTGTTTTTAACTGGGACCAACTACTTAGTAAAATAAGGCACTTCTTCCTTTAGTTCAGTCCGCTTCCCTAGACTTTAGTTTAGCTCCATTTTACACAGAGAAGTGATTTTAGCTATGCTACTCGTGACAGCAAAAGGGATGTTGTTAAGAACTGTTGCTCTCCAAGCGTGGATGGCCTCAACAATACCTTCTGGGTTGCTTGAAGCCAAGTCACACAGTGAATATATGGCTGCCAGCTGCACACCCCAGGGAACACCTGCAAAAAGTTAACACAAATCAAGTTTATAGAAACTTTGATATGCAATTAATGTTCCTGGGAAACGTGAACCTATAGATGAGTTCAAGAACTGGAATTAAAACACATCAACAATTGGGATGCTTAAATCCAGAAAGCAGTAAGATGACAACCTGCACACAAATACCTTAACACCTCATTTCATACTAGCAATTTCCAGTTTTCTGAATTCAGCAGGTTTTCAGTATTCAAAGGGCATAACAGATGCTCACATCTAGTGATTTTACTCTAGTTAAGGGTGATCAACTTTTCATAAAAGTCAGATTTACACAGTGTGAAACAGACATTTACCACTTGGAAGAACCTGAGACTGCAAGGAAGAAAAGCTATACAAGTGGTTCAAAACAACTCCCTAACATCAACCACTGCTTCACTGCAAAATGTGCTTAACCTCTGGAATAACTCAGCAATATAGATCTCTGCTGCCCTAATTGCCCTGCTTTGTCTCACTCAGGAATTCTGACTCTCTTGTTATCCTCTCTCAACACAACAATCTTGCTAAGAGCAAGCTTCTGCATGAGCTGCTCAGGTAACAAATTTGATAACTCTTTAAAGTTCTCTGAGGCAGTTTATATGCTGTTACATGAAGCAGTGTAATTCCAAGGTGGTTGAAACTATGTCAGATTTGCTCATGGTGTTAAACAAAAGGCAACATGTTTCATTATGAGCATACATGTTTCATTAACTTCAGAAGGGAAAGGGATTCAAACTGAGAGCTGTTTGTCCTGTTATGCACTAACATACAACTGCACAAGCAAGCTGCTTTGGCATTCGTGTCTCAATCTCTGCGTGTCCTTGTTTACACTGGCAAAGCTTCACACTGCAGATGTTACACTGAAGCTCTGCTAAATAAACATTACCTTCCTCTTTTGCCTGCTGTACAAACAGTCCAATTACAGAACTAATATTCTTCACTGCAGCAAGATATCCTTCCTTCAAACCTATCTGGCCCAATCGACCTGAAAGAAAAAAGAAAGGTTACTATGTGCCTGATATTCAGTCAACCTCCTAATTTTTAGATTGATGGATTGTTGAAGTATCAACAGAAAATTCAAATTTCAATGACAAAAATTATTCACTCCTGTTACCATGGTGTCTTGGGAACAACAGCTGTCCTGTTCCTTTTGTGACTAAAGACCCCAAGGCATTTTCCATCAGCTTGAACTCCTACAGGTTTACAATTTGTAAGTGTAAAACTCAAGGAATGCAGTTTCTCTTTGACAAACAATATTATATAGCCTATATACAGCAAACACCTATTGCAGCCCAAAGTTTATCTATTTACCTGAATGCCATCTAGATCCCAAATAAATGAATCTAACTTACAATTGCAAGAAGACATATTATGTTGCAAACAAACCCTTATATTATGCACTCTGCTATAAAGCATATGTAGTTACAATTTCATTTTAAAAACATAGAACATATTGGTATTTGTTATTTTGTAATGAAAGTAACATCAGAGAAACTTAAGTACCTGCTTTGCACAGGCTGACAAACAGAAAATATCTGCATGGGATTGTAAACTGTTTTTAAGGTGAAAATTGTTGAAAAATGTGAAAAAAAAATTAAAATCAAGATAAAAATAAAAAGTCCAAATACTTCAAGTCACTTTTGAGGCAGGCTGACACTTGCAAAAGACATACTTACACAAAGCAGATGCGCAACCAAGAATTTAGATTACTTACCAATTAGCCTGAGGATCAGTGCTGTAACACTGTCAGAAATGGACTGAGTGGTTTCAGGCCCCTTTCTCTTCTTTATCCATTTATCCATAGAAGGCCAAAGCACTTTGCTGTGAAAGGTAAGTGAATCTGGTAATCTGACACTGCATGAAGGGGCAGCACAATATTCATAGAACAGTTTGGGTTGGAAAGGACCTTAAGATCACCTAGTTCCAACCCCCTTGCCACGCTAAATCATATCACCCAAGGCCTCATCCAACCTGGCCTTGAACACTGCCAGGGATGGAGCATTCACAACCTCCCTGGGCAACCCATTCCAGTGCCTCACCACCCTAACAGGAAAGAATTTCCTCCTTATATCCAATCTAAACTTCCCCTGTTTAAGTTTGAACCCGTTACCCCTTGTCCTATCACTACAGTCCCTAATGAAGAGTCCCTCCCCAGCATCCCTATATTCATACAATAATGAATGCAAACGGTTCTTCTGTTTACCATCGGTTGCATTTTTAATTCATATTCTTGGGGAATTCAAAATATTCCAAGTATCCACAAATATGAGTTATTTAAAGGTTTTAAACCCAAAGAATCAAAGCTAACTTTCTGAGGGAATCATTCCTGTTCTGAATTGCATTCCTGTTCATCTTGTATTCATTTCCCTGCAACACCTGATCACTACCTCAAGTCAAGAACTTACTCTATTGACTTCATATATATATCTGAAGTTGCGTTACTTTCAATCGTTATGCTAAGATGTTATGTGAGCTTTCTGTATGACTGAAAATTCACAGTTCGCATGTTACAGGTAGGATCTGATGCTTGTTTTTAAACCTGAAAGGACCCGAGAGAAGGCTTTTCTGATCCTCAAAATGATGCTAATAGACCTAGTTACCGATTACCAGCCCAGCTCCACACAATCAACTCTGTATGGCTTTAGTTAAACTGCAATACCTTTCACTGAAGCGAATTTGTATTAATTTTAAAAGTCTCTCAGTAAAAATAACTTCTTTACTACTTGAAAGCATGGAACGTGTATAAAAAACTTGATGATTCTGAGCTATTTACATTTATTTTAAACTCAGTGATTATATTATGCTAGAATTAAACAAATGCCGTATCTCTGGAGATTCTGCTGGGTTGTGGAACCTTTACATGGAAAACAAGGGGCTGTCAGATCAGTGTAGGTATCAAATATCAGTGTTGGTATAAAAATGAAGTGTTTCAAACCAAGTTAAGTATGGTGGCAGTCCATGCACTGCATTACAGGATTCAAAGAATATTTAAGACATTGAATCTAAGCATGACAAGGATTTTAGAATTAAAATGAGACTGAAATCAGGATAGTATGCTAAAGGCTGTGGTTACATTTCATGTAACACATGCAAAGTTCCACCCTCATTTTCTTGGGGGGGGAGGGGGGGAGGGGGAAAGAGAATTCAACCATTAAGTTTAGAGGAAGACAGTCAATCGTTTTATTTCGTTGACAAAAAATCCATCTCAGAATCTTTCCCAATCGTCCACTGGTAGCTATTTTAGAAACAATTCTTAATATTCAAATGGTTCAAACAGGGTTAATTTCTTGTACCAGTACCATTTCCTCATTGATCACTCGTTCCATCTTAAAACAAGGAACA